CACCAGGACGAGGTGTGTTTTATATTGTGAATAAAGCCCAGTAGAGCATTATATATGGAACGCTCTGCGGGACAGCAAAAACAACAAATCAGCTTTCCACTTTTATTCCTTATACTGCATGTCCCACGTTTCTTCCTCAGCTTCTGGTTTCAGATAGAGTTGTTTATGATTACAGATCGGACTGTATCTGAGCATGATAAATGAAAATATGTGATTATTTCGATCCCCTTTGCAACCAAGGGGGTGTCATATAATATTGTGTAGTCAACTATTTGCACCCTAAAATGAAATATGGTTCAAATTAATGAATATTATTTGTACAAGATTAACAGCTTTTAGGCCAAAACCTACTCCGTTATTTGAAGTGTCGAATTGTGTTCAATTTCATTTTTAACATGACTTTCAATGTTATGTAGTTATTTTAAAACTCAGGAGGATATTCCTTCCACCAAGTTTGATGAAAGCGGGTCAGTTTTTCTTCCATAATCAAGCTGACAAACAGTTAGAGTCACACAAATAAAGTGAAAACATAAAGTCCTCGGTGTAGGCAATAATTGCTAAATCAGGCCTGCGCATGTAAATTACATACGAAGCGCACATTTAAGGCGGTTCATGAGAGGTTAAGAGAGAGCCAGCTGTTCTCAGTCTGTAAGTGTAAACAGCAGCAGAAGTAAGTAAAACGGTTCTCACCAATAGGCGCGTTCACACCGCAGTACTTTTCCCACTTTAGTTCCGATATAGTTCCGAAATGTCGCGTTCACACCAAAAAGAGCCGGAACTAAAATGAGTTCATGAGAACCTTTTTACCCCCTTTTCCGTCCTTCTCCGTCCCTGCTAGAGAGCAGGGACCTTCGTGGGAGAAAAAGGTTCCTATGTCTGATTGGCTGGGCGGATTGCAAACCACGCCCCGTAAAACTCAAAAACAGTTTTGTGAAGCCTTGCATTAGCATTATTAGCATTAGCATTAGCCCAGCTCAGAAACGCAGAGAGACTGACTTATGGCAACACAAAAGAAAACATGGGAGCGGTAGAGATGAGGAGGTGTCGGTGTTCTGGCGATTTACTCGGAAAGCTTCAGTAGAAGCTGCTGGGAGTCCCAGCAGCTTCTATTGAAGCCAGTCCCCAACTCCGGGGACTTCCGGCCGGGGACTCCGGGTGGCAGTATACGCCGTGAAGTTGTTTGCGGCCTGCCAGTAAACCCAAAGCAGAAGAAGAGGAAGTGACGTCAGCGGCTTCATTTGCCTAATCCACCCCCAGGGACTTAATCCGGTGTGAACACGATCTGTACTTAGTTCAATGGGGGCACTAACAG